GCAGGTTGGGAGTGAGGGGTGGGGATGGGGTGCTGTGGCTTGGGAGTGAGGGGCATGGGCAGGGGTAGGGCACTGATATATCAGGGTGGCTCAGCGCCACAAAGCAGCTGGGGGTGGGGGGAGGGAATGATAACTGCAGCCTGACCTGCATCCTGGTGAGTCAAGGGAACAGGGGGAGCTCTGATTTTCTATTATTTAAAAAAAACAAAAACAAACCCAAAATCAAACACCAAAATAGATAGGTATTTGGATTTTATTTTATTATAATGATCAAGGCACTGGTTGGCTTCTAAATTGCTTTAAAATTATAACTATATCCATAAAAGATTGTGTTCAGCTTATATATAATGGTGTTTCATTTTAATTGTGGAATGTGGATTTTGGGGGTTTTGAGGTAAATTTGAATTTTTATCAGAGAATTTGTGAGTTTTAGACAGAAAACCAGGATCCCTGATGATTAGCTACTCTTAAAGCATCAGAATATAGACCTTATTTAACAGAAGGTAGAAAATATTAGTGGTTAAGAGCTGTCAGGTCAATTTTAAGCTTCTTTGCTTGTTTCTCAGGGTTCACAACCAAAGTAATGACTTCTCAGCCAAAAGGAAGTGTATGACAAAAGAATTGGTATGCTACAAACATGCAAACTATGCATTTGCTTGTCTTACAATATCCAGTCACTGAGTGGACAGTTTTGCCGATTTGCTTTTTACCAAAGATAATAAAGCACAACAGCAAACAACTGGGCTTTAGTTCCTGCAGTTTATTTCTAGACCTGAAAGTATGTTAACCTAAAAGCTCTAAAGTGCCAGATCCTGTTCCATATTAAGTGTGATTTATATTTCACCCTGTTTGTCCCTGGAAATCCATTAATGGGTCAATTTTTTGTAAAATGCTATCTTAACCTTAAAATTAACTCTCAAAGGAAAGGTGAGAGAAGGAGGATGACAACACACCCACATTTTCCACTAACTTTTTTTTTAGGAACAGGAACAACACTTAAGGGACTGTTAAAATAGGGATAAAATTCTATGATGTCATGCTGTCATGTGGTAATGGGTATAGGATTAGTTCAGACCAAAAATGTAATGTATTATTCTATTTAAGGATCCTTTCCTGTCTCAGGATTCTCTTAGGTTGTTTCTTTTATCAGAGACTATTTGCTTTACATCAGATCTTTTTTTGTTTTTGTATTATTTGGTTGGGATTTTTGGAGGAACGCAGAATCTGTATTCTGTCATTGGATTCCCTTAGTTCTTCATTTGAAGCCATAATCCTGAAATATGACATTACTATTTTTCTTTCTAAATCAGGCACATGCAGCACCCAAGACCTGTTAATGACTCCATTCATTGTGATTATGAAAGTTATGAAGTCTATGTTTTTGTCAAGCTATGGATTAAAAAAATTCTCTTTCTTTCCTCAGATAAACTGTTAGTTTTTACTGTAGCAACTAAAGAAACCGATGGATTTCACCGGTTCATGCAGACTGCACAGCACTTCAACTATACTGTGAAGGTAAGGGTATCTTTTATTGTTAATACTGACTATTGGAAATAGTTGTACTATACAAGCTTTAACATTGAAACCATGTGTGTTGACTATCTTGCAATAAGGTAAAACAATTATAGTTCTCAACAGTGGAAAAGACCCATTCAGTCATCTGGTGCATAACCTTGCCAGTGTGGAATTGTTTCCATTGTGTATTTACTAGCATTATGTTTCGTCTGCTTGTGGGTGTGCCAGATGATGACACTTCTTCCACTGCCCTTTGAAATTATTCTACAGGTTCACAGATTTCACTGTTAGGAAGACCCTTTTTTCCCTTTGATGCTTGTAAATTTTTTCTAGCTCAGTTTCAGTTCCATTAGTTCTAGATTTATTATTTATCTTGAATCTTTTGTTGTTTCACCCTTTTATTGTAAATATTGTAGCTTCTCCCTTGGCATTTATACTCTTCAGACATATGTAGGTTATGTTATACCTTACTTGCTGCTTAGCAAAGTGGTGTTTGAGCCTCTTATCCCTCCCTCAGCATTACCTAATGTAGTTATGCTGGCAGGTCTCTTGTAGCTTAAGATGCTGGGAGGGGTGAAGATAAGGAGGGGGGAAGAAGATTCTTAATGTGGAGTCATAAAGCACAATAAAGCATCTAGATACACCAGGAATTGTTGCAGGGCTGGTGAGTGGACAATAAATGCCTTCTGCCCCATCCTTTTCATGTTTCTAGCATTCTCTCTGATCCACTTTATTTTTATTCTTTTCACTTATGACAGAGGTTGTCCTCTTCATGCAAACCTCAGGCAAAATAAGATTCTACCACTTTTGATAATTTTTCTTACAAATTAGTCTTTTCAGGGCAAAACCAAGGGATTCAAAGCTTATAAGCTGCTGTAAAGCTTTGCATATGCTTAATTTATCACACAGTTGAAACTGTAAAGAAAAAAAACCTAACCAGTTATTGTTGGCCTGAAGGTTTCTTTTTTATATGAAAGTTTAAACAGCACAGCTTGTTTCCTTATACCAGCTCATTTTGAAATAGTAGGTGGAGAGGGAGTCATCTTCCATAGATTTCATAGATATTAGGGCTGGAAGGGACCTTGCGAGATCAATGGGTCCAGCCCTCTGCCCAAGGAGCAGGAAGTTAGCTGGGGTCAGATCACCCCAGCAAGATAAGCACCCAAGCGTTTCTTAATGGTATCCAGAGTAGGTGCTTGCACCATTTCTGGGGGAAGTCTAATCCAGAGTCTGGAGACTCAGATGGTAAAGAAGTTTTTCCTTATGTCCAGTGTAAAACAGTCTTCTAGCAGTTTGTGACTGTTAGACCTCGTCTTCCCTTGTAGTGCCCTGGTGAACAGATGTTCTCCAGATCCTGATGCACACCCCTTATATACTTATAGGCTGCCACCAAGTCACCCCTGAGCCTTTGCTTCTCCAGGCTGAAGAGTCCTGTGCCTCTCTGCCTCTCCTCATAAGGCCTGTTCTCTTGACCTCTAATCATGCGTGTACCTCTTCTCTGGACTCCGAAGCTTCTCCACATCTTTTCTAAAGTGTGGGGCCCAGAATTGGATGCAGTACTCCAGCTGCAGCCTCACCAAGGCTGAGTAAAGTGGGAGGATGACCTCTTAGGTCTTGCTTCAGATGCATTGGTAGATGCAAGCCAGAGTTTTATTTGCTTTGCCATCTGCAGCATCGTATTGGTTGCCTATGTTCATCTTATGGTCAATTATGACCCCCAAGTCTCTTTCGGTTGTGGTGCTAGTGAGTGTAGCGTTGCTGAACCTATAAGTATGATGTCTGTTTTTCCTCCTGAGGTGGAGTACCCTGCATTTGTCCATGTTGAATGTCATCAGGTTTTGATACGCTCACCTTGTGAGCCTGTCCCAACAGAAAAGTAATATCCTTGGAAACTGACCTCTACTGACAATACATTTTAGTTGATGGTGGTATTGTCACTATATAATTTATTATCCATCTGGAACTGAGAAGTTAATAGAAAATAACTTCTTTTGTAATAAACTTTATGCATTTGTAATAAACTTTATGCATTACAAAGATTTGGATGTTCTGTGGCTGTGATTTTCCACAGTACTTGACAATGGTGGGGTTTTATTTAGCCAATTTAATAGCTAGTCACAGATTTCTGAGTTTATTCTCTCTAACTTGAGGAAATAGTTTGAGACATCAAAAAAAATTCAACACTAGCTTCCCCATGCACTTTTGTCCCTCTTTCCAAATTGCTGTAGTGTTTAAAAGTTGCATTGTTATTTTTTTAATTAGAAGAATTTGATAAACAACATTTTTTCTTCCTTGTCTTTTTTCTTTTAAGGGTGAGAGAGGTGAATAACCAGCTATGGTAAAAAGTAATTGCTGGGTTCCTTTGAGGTTACAAAATGTTTTTTCTCATATTTATGAAATGAAGTCATTGAGCTTAATATTGTTTAAGACATGGTAGATTTGGTGCTTGAAATGTTGGCTTTTACTTTGTTTCTTGCTTTGGTTCCTTGCCTTGCACTTGTTTCTTACCTTTGCCTTGACACATTTCTAATCTATTAAAAATACCCGTTAACTTTTATGTTCAGGTAAAAATGCTCTCTTCCTGTTTCTAGGTACTTGGTAAAGGTGAAGAGTGGAAAGGGGGAGGGTTAGCTTACTCAATTGGAGGAGGCCAGAAAGTAAGATTGCTGAAAGAAGGAATAGAAAGCTATGCTGATCAAGAAGACATGGTTATAATGTTTGTTGAAAGGTAAGCAAGTTCTGCTTGTTGCTTTCATGCTTTACTCTGTAGAGGTAGCTAATAAAACATAGTTATTGTGACATGTTGATAGTTACATGCTGATATTTTCCCCTTCTGTGTTTTTATTTGAGAAGGTTTGCTTTCTTGTTTTTCCATTCATAAAAATACTAGCCTGTCTCTGGAGCAGACATAAGTTTTTAATAGATTTACAGATGTAAAAATGGTCTCTGGGCCATAGCTCTACTATGCTATGAAAACAATGTTATTGAGCGCTGCCAGACTTCTAAATTTCTTTACTAACCTCAAGCCTTGTGTACTAGGAGTTGCCCTTGTAAGAGATTAGTATGACGCAAAAGGCACACGTAGCCAGAAATGTGTGCGGAAGTGCATAAGCCACGCTTTTACTCCCCCCACCCCCCCATCATTGCCAAGAACTCAAGTGAGTTTTCAAAATAAATGATTTAAGATTGGCATAACTGCTTTGGGGGAATGATCCAGTTTCCTTAAATAGATTTGACTATACCAATCTCTCAAGTTTGCAGATACCTTGATATTTTTTTAATACTGACGAGTGTTGCATTGGGTTGGAAATGCTAGATATAATCAATATAATTTTTCAAATATATATTTTTTATAATCTCAATAAAAATAATTCTTAACTTTCCTGACAATTAGCTTGAAAAAAAGTAAGATCTGGTTTATGTCCAGGGGGTCAAAAAAATCCGTGGAAAAAGAAAGCAGAGCAGCACACGCACAGGTTGTACATGCCACTCTAAAGCAGAGCCAGGCCACCTGGAGCCACACTGCAGCTGCTGGCCAGGCTTCGAGCAACAGAATTGCTGCTGCTGCAGTCCCCAGGAGGCCCCTCTTGTTGTGTGCCCAGGGCATACAGTGTGAATTAAAAACAAGCTGGAATCTTATCAGGAGATAAGGCACAACACTGCATTTATTGGAACATAAAACATGCAACATTAAGAGAATAAAGAACAGTACGGTTATTTGCTTCACTCATTCCCCTGTATATTGATTCATTCATTGACTGATTGATTAATTCATTCAAAAGAGACAAGCACGCACACAGAGATAGCTAGACAGTCCTGCAAAGGTTAAGGTGTTACCAAGTTCTAAAGTTGCTCAGTTCAGTCTGGTGGCCAGCCAAACTGTCCAGAGTTTTGGAGTCAGGTCATGTTGGATGCACCCAAAACTCCTTCTTGCAGGTGGAAAAGACCCAAAGCCTTCTCTTTGTGTTCATTCTTTATAGTGATAGCTGTCCATACAGGCCTATGGATTCGGCTTAGTCAGACACAAAGGTCATCCTCTTGTCCTGTTCGCAGGTTGGGATCGGTAGGACACGACCTTCTGGCTTTGTGGTGTGCAATCTTCAGGGGGTTGTTGCTTGCAGTCTTCAGCCATTAGGATGAAGCATGATTTAGTATTTGGTAATCCTTAACTGCTGACTCAACATTGCTGCAGCCATTAACCATTAAACAACAGAAGGCTATTTTCACCTGCTGCAAGAGGACTGTCTTCCTTCACGTTGTCACATACATACTTCATTCATTCTTTTGTTACCTCTTTCCACATATGGCAGACATGCCACAAACCTTGCATAAGCATTTTCCATATACTAAATTTAAGTTCTAAAATCACGAGACCAATAGGTCAAATGCATCTAAAATCATGAGACCAATATGTCCAATATATTTATGCTAAGCAATAAGAAATTTAAAATAGATGGTTAATTCCAAAACACTAATAATGACTGATCAAATTATTATAAGTAAATCATAACAATATTAACTTTCTCTTAATGGTTAAATATTTTATTATATAAAAAGAAAAATAACAATATAAGCGATCAAAGCAATTATAGTCACTGCAAATGCTTCAGGCTCCCCTTGGTTCTAGCCCAGAACTGGTAAAGAATACGGGGCAGGTCCCAGTGGGCATGGGGCCAGGAGAGCTCTGCCAGCTGCAGGGGCAGCTGTCTCCTGGCCCTGTACACATTGGGAGAGGACCTGATGTTCAGGGGCAAGGATAGAGGTACCTCTGCAGCAGGCAGAGCTCTCCTGGCGCTGTGTCCATTAGGACACACAGCTGCCAGCAAGCTCCCTGCCAAGGGGGTTGCTGTGAAAACTGTCCCAGGTGTAGGGTAGCTGCTGGCAAGCCTTCTGCTGGGCCAGGCAGGCACGGGGCTCGCTGGCAGCTGCCCTGTTTGGATGGAGCTAGCTGCTCTAGGGAGTGAGTGGTGGCTGGATTCTTAGCCCCTGCCTGCTCCATGGAGCAGCCAGCTTTGCACTGGGTGAAGTTGCTCTGGGGGACAGGCAATGGCTAAATTCCTAAGCCCCTTGCCTGCTCCCTGGAGCTGGCCCAGGGGACAGGTAGGGGCTGGCAGCTCCATGCTGGGACCCAGGGCAGAGAGCTCCCCAGTCTCAACAGTAATTGGCTCCCAGCTTCTGCGGGGAGCTGAGCAGCACCAGGACTGGGGACAGAGAGCTCTCTGTCCCTTGTAGCCCCCTGCTGCCTAGGTTGACCAGGAGCAAATTTGCTCTTGGTCAGCATTTACATGAGTGTTACTGCACAGTAGACTAATCTAGTGTGTAGTAAATGTGCGCACATGTACATCATGACACTGTACTGTGCAGTGGGTAGTCTACTGCACTGTAAAGCGTCTTGTGTAGACATATCCACTGTCTAGGTAGGACAAGTGTAGGTGTCCAGAGAACTGGTGTAGTCGCAACTTATGCCAAAGGCAGGGGTTCTCTTCTACCAGTAAAAAATATCTGTGGTATTACCTCTAGAAAACAGGTCAGGAAGCTGGAGCAATGTGTGTTATAGTCTTTGCTGGAGAACTACACTATCAAGCTTCCTAGTCAGGGGGCACTAGAAGGCTGCTCCCTGGGCCACCATCCAGGGGAGGTAGTTCTTTGACACTTTGTCCTTTCTTCTCCTTTACCTGCCTGTGCTATCAATTGGCAGTTGGTAGCTGCTGAAAAGCAATGGCTGCCACAGACAACCGAAGGAGGGGGAGCTTTATCTCCTGGCAGGATGAGGGGCTATGCCATCAGCTGTCTGGCAGGATGAAGGGCCATATTCCCATAGTGGGAACCCTCCTGGTTCCCTCTGCAGGACAAGCTTCCAGGTGGAACTGGAGTGTGAGGTGGTGGCAGACCATTCTCCCATGGTATCATGGCTCCTTGAGCCCAGGAAGCCTTGCTATCAAAGCCCAGCTGTCTTCCTCCTTCCTGCACTCATCTAGGTGGACCCAGAGGAGCACGACTGGAGTGCTTTTGTCTACATTTGGCAGATCTTCTGAAGCCTTGAGAGGGTGGCTGCCAATGGTGCAGCTGCCCAATACCTGCTCCAACTCCTCTGGGACAACTGATGAGTGGCTGAGCATTATCCTTCCTGGTTACAACTCTCCTTAGGCTCTGGGAGGGTTCCCCTGTAGGAGAATGTTTCTCTCCCCCCCCCACCCACCAACTGAGCCAATCCTAATTGGCAGGAGGGGGAAGCCATTCTCTGGCAGTGGGCACCCATTCTGGGATGGTTCCTGTTGGAGGAGAATGCTGCTTATCTCCCTCCTCAGCAAGCAGCTGATTGGCAGGAAGGGGGAAGGAACTTTCTTTTGTGGGGTCCCCACAGAGTTCCCTGACAACCTTTCTTCTGGCACAAATGTAATGTCTGTTTCTGGTCTTACTTAGGCCCTTTCTACATGTTGTACTTAAAGCATGATTGTTTAATCGTGCCTTAAGTTGCGACCCACCTACACATTCAACCCATAACTGGCATGACAAAACGAGCAATAAACTACAAAGTTATTTGACAAAAAATGTGTAATAACTTTGTAGCTTGTTCTAATCATGGCATTAATTCATCATGTGGCCAAGTGCTTCCCTGTGGCTGGGAGCCCCAGCAGCTGAGGGCCTCAAAGTCACAGGGCTGCACTACTTGCTGCCAGCCCAGCGGCTGACAAGCCTTGCAGGGGTGGCAGTGTTCCTGGCACAGCCCCACACTGAGCCTTGTCAGCTGCAGGGGTTACACTGGGGTAAATGCTCCCCTTGCTCCACCAGGCTCATCATCAGCTGCAGGGCTCACAGCTGTTGCAGTACCAGGAATGCTGTGCTGCTGTGAACCTCATCAGCTGCAGGGCTTGCAATGGGGACAGCATTGTGCGGTTTGAGAACACTGTCACTGCTGTGAGCCCCGTGCCTCACAATGCTCACAGTGGTGACACTGTTCTCCTCATTGCCTGCTCTAAGCCCCACAGCCCCCACTGCAAGCCCCACAGCTGCTAAGGCTTGCAGAGGCAGCAGCATTCCCTGTACTGCCCCTGCTATGAGTTCTGCAGGCCCTGTTTGTCACAGGCTTGCAGCTGTGGGAGCTGGTTCAGAGGGTGCCCCAGATGATGGTTCTGGGCTCCCCCTGCATGGCATGGCAGGAGGCATGATTAGGTGGATAATGCATTGGATCCCGCTGCTCATTAGATCCCTTGATCTGCATGTGTAGAAGGGCCCTTAGAAACGATGCAATTGACTCAGGAGAGCTGAACCCACAGCTGTTGCTGGTTTACAAGTGCAAACGGAAGGAAGCTTCTCTGTTTAGGAGCCCTAGGGAAACGGAGCCTGTTAGGTAGTCTATATAAGTTTATGATCACTCCCACTGTTTTGCCTTTGTTTGGTAGAAGGGATTATGAAAAGAAATAAGTGTAGATCTTGGAGCATCCCCAGCTTTGCAAAAGAGTCTTGTCTTTGGCTTTATTCATCCTTCTTTCCTCTGGCCATTCCAATTGGAAGTCTGATTTGGAGCCAGGATTCAGCAAAAGCCATGGTATACCCTGTAGGAAAATTTCAGTCCTGTAGGGTTGTCCTGGCTCCTGAGTTGTGCTGACCTGAACTATGGCTAACTACCTACAGGGAATCAGGAAGGAATTTTCCCTTAATGTGGAATTACTGGGCCGTTTTGCCTTCTCCAGAGTAGGAGGAAAGCATGGCCTGTGGTGAAAAATAAACTTGAGATTGTCTGCAATAATTGATTAATGCCCAGATGTTCGAACTGAAAAGGTTGGAGTTCAATAGAAAGGCAGATTTTGCAAGCTCCTTTGTTTATTCCAGCATGGAGCAATGGTCCTGAAGCAAGTAAGACTGGCATTGGCAGTGAGGATATTGGGATATGGTATAAACAATTTGAAGCATGAGCTGTGGTACCTTATTAGGGCGGTGCAAAGCTTCTGTAGCCGCTTCAATTCAGAGGAGATTTGGCTTGATTCAGTGGCTGAATCTCCAAATCTGAATTGAATCAGGAGACCTGTTAAAAGGTCCAAATCAATTTGGAGATTCGGCCATAGACTATACAGGTAGCAGTCCTCAGTGACACTGGACACAGCTACCTCCAGCTGGTAACTGTTTTGGCAGGCGGAGGAGGGATGGAAGGGGTGTGAGGGAGGGAAAACCAATGCCCCCACAGCAAAGGAGGGATTGGGGCTGGGGCTAGGACAACATGCCCAGTTGGGGGAGGGGAGGGGGTGCTTCCGCCACTGCGTGCTGCTGCGCCCCATCAGTCCAGGAGCTGCTTTTCGGGTGGCTTCTCCAGTGGCACTTGCCACTGGTCCAGGAGGGCATGGAACAGGCATATGCCACCGGATCTGTGGAGGGCAGGCTGGGCCAGGCTGCAGTCCAGGAGGCTAGCCCCAGCTGCCCACTACCGGACAGTGCTCATGGGGTGGGTCGAGCCAGGGCTGCACTCTGGGTGGCTAGCCTCAGCTGCAGCTCAGAATGCAGCCCTGGCTCCACCTGCCCTGCAGAGGGCAGTGGAGCGGAAGCTATGAGGGGGCAGCTGCCACCCTAAAATTCCCCATAGCCCCTGCCACCGGCCCCACCCTGATCTGGGTGCATGCATCTACCCCCATGCCCTGCGACTGCTCACCCAGCCAGGGTGGGGCAGGGCCAAGCCGCAGCTTGTCCAGGAGGCATGGGGAGGCTGAAGCAGCTTCTGCTGCTGTGTAGCACTTGCCTGAGGCAGCGCAGCACCATCCTGTGTCTCCCTGCCCTGGCTGGGCAAGTGGCGGGAGGGCATAGCCCCCGCTCCCAGTGCCTTCTGCTGCCCACCTGGAGTGCCGCCTGGCGCAGCCCATTCTGTGCAGATCCAGGGGCACATTCCCACTCCCATGCCCACCTGGAGGAGCCACCAGAAGAGCAGTTACCGGAATGGTGGCATGTGGTGGCAGGCAGTGGTGGGAGCCAGTGATGGCAGGGCATGGTGCATGGTTGCTTAGGGCAGGGGAGAGGTGGTTGTAAGCATGCAGTGCACTGGGGCAGGGTCACCAGTACATGATGGGGGGGACCATGGACATGCATTGCAGCAGTCAGGGGTGGGTATCTGTGCAGCGTGCAGTTTGTGGTGTGGGTGTTGCTTGCCCTCATGTGGTCTGTGGGGTGTGTGACCCCTGGCCACTTGAAAGCTGGATAGTCCAAGCTTAGGTCAACAGTGTGAAGCTGCAGGTGAAATCCTTCATAAAATGAAAAGGTTGCATCAGTCCCTGGAACTCCTGGATGGGATGGTGGTAGTGTTAGGTATGTTGTTTAAAGTGAAGTGTTTATACTGTTTATTACACGTAATAGATGTTGGCCTGCACCATTGTAAGCCATAAAGACTTGTGCAATGTCTTCTTTTAACTGCTGTATTCTGGTGAATATATCTGCTCCGCAAGGAGAGTCTACGGCTGGTGTAATACTACCGTTCTCACCAAAGGTGCTGTTTGATCAAGTTGCTGCTGTGGCAGTAAATTTGTTTTGGGAAGTAGTGCTATAGGGGGCAGGTGTTTCAGCCCTTGAGCAAAGTGGAAAAGTACCGATGGCCCAACTTTAAAGCATTTTGAGCAGTCTCAGTTTTTCTTATTACCCCTCAGACTGTGTCTTGTTGCTGGCTGTGATTCAAGCTATCTGGCCAAAGGCAAACCGTTTTTGCAGGGCAGGCTCCAAGACTGATTTATTTCCTTTTCATCAACCCTTTGCCAAATTTACAGAGAGCAAAACAGTAAGAGTTTTCACAAACCCATTTGCTTTGAAAGGGATTGCATGAGTCCCTCACCTTGATGGTCCTGAAACCAGTTCTTCCACTGCCTGCTTCAAGCCTCAAGCCCCACCCCCATACTTGGTTCCCCTCTGGGCCCTAGGAAATAAGAGAATAAATGTAAATACATCATTTTCTGTCATGCCTCACTTCTCTTCTGTGCCCTAATGTGCATTCTTATTCCAGTTAGAATTAAGTGCAGTAAGGAGCTATACCTATGTCAGGAGAAAGGGGTGTATCCAGGATATTACTTTCAGAGGAAATGAGTATTCCTTTAGTGATAGTAATTTGTCCTTAGAATAACTTATGATGCAACAATCAAATTTTTTTCTGACTGGGATTGCCCCAGTGTTGTGGCTTTTACCAGAGGGCGCTCTGCCCATAGGTGGATGCTTCAGGCACGATCCCGTGCAGCATGTCCATCTGCCACACTCCCCTGGGCTGGGAGAGCTGCCCTGGATCCTTGCTGAGTCGGAGCTGCCAAAGCTCAGGAGATAGGTGGGCAGGAGGGAGGTGCTGCCTGGGGCTCTGGGCACCCATGGGCTGGAGGCATTGCCTGACCATGGTGTGGCTGTCCCGGTGGGTGGGAGCCCCTGTATGGGGAAGGAAGGGGGGGCACTTGGCTTCATGCAGCCTGCCCCTGCAGCACCCGATAGTAGCCCTGCTGCTGTGCTCACTCCTATTTAAGCCTTGCCAGCTCTGCTGTGCAACTTTGCCTGGCTTTGCTCCCCAGGTAACCACTAGTTACCTCCTTGCTGCAGCAGTAGTATGATGCTGCAGCTCAGATCCATACCACCTCCTGGGCAGCCCCTGCTGGAGTTGCTTCCCTGACCGTAGGCAGCACTAAGACAAGGGATAAACAGTAAATGTTAAATGTTATAAATATAATTGCCATTTAACCTTTTACATCCCTTAATTGAAACATCATCTTAAAAATTAGAAGTTTAATATCTTTTTTTAACCAAAAATCCTGTGAAATTCACTGTTAAAAATAGCAAGTTACAGTTTAGTATGGTTCTGACCAGGATTTGACATTTGCTTGGGCAATGAGAGCATCCACAGTCACATGGAATCCAGTCATTTTCTATAGCTGTATACCAAATGACAGGGCTTCAGAAGATCAGGCTTACCACAGGTCATAACACTGTACTGTTTAATGTTATTCATAGTGAATTCTATATGCAATTACTTCAAACCCAAACCTCTGTAATTTTCACTAAGGAACTCAAGGTCACCAACTTATTAGAGGGGAACTTTATGTGCACACAAAGGACGATGGTCATTAGCTATAGACAACACATCATTGTGTTAGTGTTAAAATACGTGAAATATAGTAGGGCATACAAGCACTCATATTCTTGATAAGAAACACATTCGTTGTGTGACTTTTCAAATGTAGTTTGTATCATCAATCCAATCCAATTACTCTTTGAAGTGAAATGAATCTACTATTCTGGTTATTTCAATCCAAAAGTCAACTTTCAACCTCAGTCTGTTTCAACTATTGTTACCCTTTTTTAGAAGTAGATTGAGATTTGTTTTCTTTTCATAATGGGAAAAGTGGGGGTTTGTTGGTTTATTTAATTTTGCTTGTGTTTAAAACATTTGGAATTAAAAAAAAAATTTTTAGGTGGGGGCGAAGTCTGAAAAATTATAGCAGGAAAAAATGAAAAATTCAGAAAATTATGTGTAAACAAATAGGGTAGGTATGTGTTTATATGAAGTACTGATTACCTAATATTGATAATAAATATTATAAAGGCTTTATTAATGGCTTTAAATTGTGGAGTAACATGCTTTCTTAATAAAAAGATTTGTGGCAGAACTAAGAATACTCTGGTTTCTTTGACTGTGCAGGGCTTTAAATCTAGAATAAGCGAAAGGTTTAATAGTTTAAAAATAATCTACCTAATGGGTACTTTTCCATTATTTTTTAGCTATAATGTTATTTTTGCGGGTGGCCCTGATGAATTGCTCAAGAAATTCCAGCAAGCTAACCATAAAGTAGTATTTGCTGCAGATGGACTAATTTGGCCAGATAAAAGGTTAGCAGACAAGTATCCCTTTGTCCGGAGTGGAAAACGTTTCCTTAATTCAGGAGGTAAGTGGTGCCTACTGGATAATACTGCTGGTTAACCAAAGTGACTGTTTTTCATAATATTTGGGGATATATGTGGTAGCCATGTTGGTCTGAGACTAAAAGAAATGTAAAAAAAAAAAAAAATCTTTTTCTGCAACTTTAGGGCTCATCTGTCATTCATCAGGCTCAGGGAAAGTTCAGGATGGTAAAAAGTAGGCCTGTGGCAAGTGGCTAGGATTCGCTTCAGATTTGGCCAGTTCAGAGGACAGTGATTCGATCTGGTGATTTTGGGCAATCAGTGAATCTGATATGGAGATTCAGCTGCTGCTGAATCTTCAAATGACTTAGGCCCATCTCCTGCCCGCTCTCCCAGCCCAGAAATGGCTGCCCTGCCTGACCCCAGCTCCCAGGACTTGGAGGGGGGGGGAAAAAAAAAAGCTCCAACTCACTAAATGCTGCTCTGTGTGTGTGGGGGGGGCATGATCCCTGCTGTCCCCCACTGCTGCATGCTGCATGGGGGGCTCTGCGCAAGCTCCCTGACCACTCCTGCTCCCCCAGTTCCC